CTAGTGCCCGTCCTTTGATCCTGAACGGCGAGAGCTTCGGGTATATGAGGTGACCGTCCGGGAACATGTTGAAAGCGCCCGTTGCTTTCAACTTACTGCAGCGAAAGCCTCCAGCACACCTTGGGGTGCCACTAGATGCTAGGGGCCTGCAGTTTCAGAATTCTTTCTATCCAAGGCTTGCACGCTGTTGACCGAAATCGCGTCAGCAGATAGCAGTGGGTTCTCGCGATCTTAGCCAGTTACGATGAATTCGGAAGCTTTCTGCGTTCTGCGCCTGCATCTGGCGGTTTCCAAAAGCTTCCTCAAAATTAAGGGAGCCTCCAAACCATGAGGACCTTTGGAAAGGGCAGCCTTCCGCTTTTCGGAAACGTCAGCTGGGGACATTCGCGAAACATGCCAGCTTTTGTGCCCCAAAATTCAACACTTGGCTGCTTTCTCTGTTTGGATCGTTCTTGACACTGCCAAAAGACTTTTTCACCTTGTCGCGGTGCTCCAGCTTTGTTGCAGGCTGGAGTCTTACACTGGCACTTGATGCATACCAGTTTCGCCAAGCCTCTTGCGATCCAAGCAGGGGGGCTGCCAGACATTGCGGGCCAGTGAAATGCACAGGTTGCTAATGCAGCAGCCATAGTGAAGGAAGACACCAGGAGTTTGCCTGAGGTGGCTTATCTTCCAAATTCGCTGTAAAGCGGCAGCCAGTGAGACGGACAAGTCGAGACATGTTTCAGGGAGCAATGTAAGTGAGCTCGTAGCAGACTGATAGTTGGAGAAGATGTCCTGGACAATCCACACAGGGTTGCAGAGTGTGGATGCTGACCCAGACGCACCTTTTTCGCCCATAGCCGAGCGACCTGCCGGGTGCAATTTATCAAAGCTTCTCAATCGCTTTCCAGGAAGGTCCTTACTATTTCTGAGATTTTTCAAAACTGCGGGGACCTGCTAGTCACGAGTGCAACTCACAAAAGGTTCAAGAGCAGGCGAAACGATTGTGTAGGGATGTCCAGGAAGCTGGGTTACCTGTAAAGGCAGTGACCGCTTACAATGCAACACTGACCGGCAGATTCGGGGCATGACGTACACGCCAGACCCAAACCCTACACCCATGGCCCATAGCTATCGGCACAATGCCCTAAAGACCCCCTTCGTGGCGAAGCACAGGTTCCCCCCATGGGATAGTGTTTTGTGATGCAATGTCGGTAACTAAATGACACGATTGAATACGTTTCACGAATTTGTGCCGCTGCTCGCGGTGATGGTGGTGGTGATGATGATGGGGATTCTGCTGTGTAGCATATGATGAGAATGATTACTTTAATTGTCATGTATGTGGTACAAGCACCTTAGGAGCCTGGATAGCTTTCGACATGATCCACCCATATACCCTTTATACTTAGAACATACTCCACCCCCAACCCTATTCAGTTATTCAAGCCCTGACATTGCTCTCAGACAGTACCGTGAATCCTTTCACGGAAGGCCAAAGCCTCTGGTGCACCTTGGGAGTGTACAGAGCTTCGGATTCCGCGGTCTCACGTCTGCGGCTGCTTTGATGGGAGTTTCTGAAATGAGGGATCCTTGCATGGCTAGCCTCCTACAAAGTATTGATGCATCTGAGCTAGAAAGTTAGGACCCCCTCATTGGAAGCTACCAGACCTTCCGTTCCGACTGCCCCCATCACGAGCTCCGTGTGCGCTTCGAAGCAAGTTCAACGCAAAGCCAAATCCTCAAATCCTGAACCCTACACACGAAACCGATGTCGTGGTCCATGAGAGCTGCGGTAGGAAGGGTCCTGCTGACCTCCCCTAGCTCTCATGGTTCCCAGGTTGAGCCGTGTTGGCTCCCAACCAGTGATTGTAGCGGCTTAAGCCATTTGGGGGTTAGACCCGCTGTGATCTAGTGAGCAACTCTAGAACAGTTCAACGGGCCAGAAGCGTGCTGACCTCATAAAATTTCCAGGCGGGTATTTCTCAATAACATCTTGACTCATATACCCCTAGATCCTTAGGGGCCATTTTTTTTTGGAAAAAAAAGTTTCCTGAATCAAACTGCTCCCGCGGACAGCTTTCCTTGATAAGAGAGCTTTTCGGCTCTGCAGCATCGCCTTGGCAGGTGTCATGCTGGCATGTTTCAAAAGTACTGGTTCATGTGAATTCATGGTGCTATGCGAACTTAAAGGGCATTTTCAGTTTTGTTTTGCTTTCTGGGTTTACCTTTTCATATGACAAGGACTGCATTCAGCCCTGAAACTTGAATCCTTTATCTTCCAACGCATCAGCTTGTGGGCTGCAATGGAGCTGCATGCCTGCCAGTCGTCAGGCTTGAGATTGCGGACGCTTTTTACGGTCTAGGGACCTTCAGCTTCGCGACAGGATTTCTTCCGCCTTCTTACAAAACTTTTTAATGTGGGATTGCTGAGCATATGGAGGATTTCTGCAATGTGTTTCAAGCCTGAGCGGTAGACTTGCGTTAGGATCCAGTCTGTCGGTTTGTTTTGGGGAAGTTGCTGCTTGCGTTAATCATTTTGACCCAGCCGACCTGACCTAGGTAACGTGTGCGTTAGAGTTAGAACTATATTAGCCGTTATAGCAGCTGATGTCTCATGCGGAGGATGCATATCAGCATGCATTCGGATGGCATCTACACCAACTTCATGGAATTCAAGGATCGCCCTAAGTCATAGGATCTACGTTCTAGCTTCAATTCTCGGTGATGACTTCGAAGTTCAGGCAGTCTGGAACCCTATACCCTTGCCTTGAATCCATTGTTCTTCTCGTTCCCCGGACGCACAGATGTTTGACGTTCACTCAACATGTGCGAAGATGATTCCCCAAAATATTTGATACCTGTTTTGCACTTGCAGGCATGAGTCGTGTTGAGATGTCAGCGAACCTATTTCTACCTCAATGACAAGGATGTCAGCATATTGGGGTTTTCGAAAGAAAGGCATTCATTTTGAGATGGACCGATGCTTAAAGGTCTGCCGGGCCTCTTTAATTTTGCTCGTGGCAACGGTGAGGCCATTGTGGACATTGTGGGCATGTAATCCGAGTGTAGGTGCCGCCGAGATGACCAGGTCCAGCTTTTTGCTCGCAAGCAATCTTTTTGGCCCAACGTACGTCAGCCTTGTATGAACCTGCTTCTTTTCGACCTCTCGCCTGGCAGCTTTCAAGTTACGTCCCTTCGTCCCCAGGATAAGGAAAATGCAGTTGTGGTTTCGGACCTCAATTTGAGAAATGTCCATGTTGCCAGTGGTCAGACAGCCACATGCAATTTCAAAAGGTGGCCGCCTCACAGTTTCGGCTTACGCATGATGACCGTGCAGCCTGTGCGGGCACTCAATGTTTCAGCGCAGTCGAAATGGAGGTAACTTAACTAGACGTTTGGTGTCTTGTTGTCTGCAACATTCGGAGAACTGCTGTCAGTTGACTCTCTGAAAGTTTGCGACCAGCTGATGTGGAAGAGTGAAACCTTGGGGCTCCTGAACTGCTGGTTGATGTTGCTGCATTATGATTGTCCTTGCTCCTGCCATGTTCCTTGCTGATTCTGCCATTGTTATGGGAATGTGACAGCCTACACGCAGGTACAGCATGCCACCAGCAAGCGTCAATGAGCAGGCTCCGCTGAGTTGACCTGCAGGGATGGACTTCAGTTTGACTGCTCAACCAAAAAAATACATGACGCACCTTCCACAAAAGCGATTGAAGTTTGGGGTAGTTTAGGGTTTGCTTTGTTGAGGGTTTAGTTTCATGCTGACTGCCCAACCGTTGGTGCCGAGACCGTCAATCCACGCTGACAGTCCCGACGCTATTAACTCCCAATCTTGAGTATGTGCGTAGCCATACAATATGGTTCCCTGTACTTGATTGCAGCTTGGAGCACCAAGCTTCTCAACCTGAAAACCAACACTTCACACCCTGGATCCCTAAACCCCAAATCCTAAGCCTTGGATCTCGAACTCTGAGAGCGTGCGAAGAACCGTCGCCGACAGCAAGATGAGATGCTGGCACAAGGTCAGACTGGAAGCAGGAAAGGCATGCTCCAGCAGATTTCTCCTGGCAGGTACACGGGTATGCAAGACTTAGGCGAAAGGACAGCCGCCTGGAATGACAATGCCTCAGAACGCTTGAGAACTTTACATATAATTAAGCTGTTGCAAGAGCGTTCCAGCTAATGCCCTTGGCTTCAAAATGCAATTGCAGGTTCAACTTGGTGCAGGGTTGAGTGCAGAGGAGGCCTTAAGCTCCTCAAGTCCAATGTCGATGCTAAGTATTCCATGTGAGCTGAATGCAGGGTGGCCGCATCATCTTCTACTGCCTGGCAGCTGGCGTCCCAGGGCGGGGTCGGTAGCTGCATTTGTCGCAAAGTCTGATTGGGAGAGTTCTAGCTCGTGGTGCCTGTGCTCTGTCGTGAATCTAGTAGATTTCTGTTTTCAGGCAATATCGAAGTTGCTGTGTAGGATCCTTTTGGCTTTCAGTGGTTGGGGCTCACGAAATAGTTGTGCCGTTTCAAGCAGATTTTGTAGGGTCTAAACCTTAAGATATCCAACCTGGAGCTGGGCCACTCTGGGGCAACTGGGCACACTGGATAAGAAAGGTGGGGACGTGATAAGAACAGGTGCCACTGATTGTGCGATGTGACCGATCCGTTGAGCCATCTAGCTGAAGGTGTGCTAAGGCCTCATCACAAGCAGCTTGACTCTAGAGACACCAACCACCGTCACCACCGCCAATGGCAGTCTCATCTTCATGCGCAAGACACGCAAGACTTGCTGCAGCAAGAGTAATTAGCAGGACGTGCACTCTCAGTCATAGACCATCTACGTCGAAACAAATGGATAATGATCGTGCGGCCATGCTTAGTGGCCCATGTTGTTGGCAGTGCAGTTCGAAGCACGACTAAAAGCTGGAACGCTGGTTCCATCTGGGCTTCGCCTTGCGACTAAAAATCCATGGTGAAGAAGAAGTTCGGCGGCGAGAAGGTCGATGTGAAGGGTGTCTTGGCACCGGCTGCGCCCAAGAAGCCTGCTGGATCAGCATGGTCCCAAGGTGCCGGTGCTGCTGCAGAAGCCTCTGCATCGGCTGGAGCACCAGCCGCTAGAGGCCCAGGCATGGCTGCCTCAGCTCCATGCCGTGCTCCGTCAGCTCCCTCAGCTCCCTCAGCTGGACCAGCTACCGGGGCATGGGCTAAAGGTGGACCCTTGGGGTTAGCAGCCACGGCCACCTCGGTGCAGGCAACGGCTAAGCCTAAATTTGCGCCCGCTCCGCGAGTACCAACTGGCTACGCAGCAGGTCCGCAAAGGCCTGCATTGGGACAGAAGAAGGCTTCTCCAGTCTTTAATGCAGCAGATTTCCCAGATGTAGAGAAGCCGAAGACTGCTGCAGAATTGGCAGAAGAGGCCGCAAACAAAAAGGCTACCAAAGCCTTTCCAGAGGTGTCGAGTTCTGCTGAAGCACTGGCGGCCTTGTGCAGCAGAGCAGGTGTCACGGAGTCCTCTGATATTGGTCGAGCCACTGGAGCGCTATCCTGGCTTCTGAACACTTTAAATGCGGATATGTCAGATGATGATAGAGACAAGCTCCTGAGAGCAGGAGCCTTGGTCATTGAGGGCATGGCCTCAGATGAGAAGAGTGTATCTGCTGTTGATGAGGTACTGAAGGGGTACTTCCAAGTGCAGCAGCACAAAGGCAAGAACACGCCACAGGCCCTTGAGGCCAACGGCTTAGTCGATGCCTTGCTGTTTGGAAAGCTGGCGCTGAAGCTGGAAGCTGGAAGCCAGAGGCAAGGTGCCATTAGACTGAGAATTGTAAGGCGATTGCAAAAGCCAACGAACTCCGCTGTCGCTCAGCGCGCTTTGGCAGATGCGCTCGTGCCATTACTGGCAGCAGACCCGGACGCAGCCGAAGAGATCTGCCGCAAGGACTTCATCCCAGACTTGTCGTCTGCGCAGGAAGGTACCCGACGTGGTGCAGCTTTAGGGATCGCTGCCATTGTACAAGGATCCGGAGGTGTGCCAGCAATGAAGAAGTTGGGCATCATGGAGATTGTCAAGGAGTATGCAGCCACTTCGGGGAAGACATCGGCGGGCAAGCGCGAGGCAGCACTGTTGCTGCTGCAAGCCCTGGCGCAGGCCTTGGGTCGAACCTTTGAGCCGTTTGCAATGGCCTCAATGCCTTTGCTGCTAGAGAGCTGTTCAGACTCTGCCAAAGATGTTCAAGTTGCTGGGCGCGCTGCAGCAAAGACAGTTGTAAGCCAGGTGAGCAGCGGTGGTGTACGGCTCATGATTAATCCAGTGCTGGAGGGGCTCAAGGACAAGCGTTGGCGAACGCAACTTTCGGCAGCAGAGCTGCTGAAGCCAATCATTTCAGAACTGGTTGCAAGTGCACCCAAACGACTGCTGGCCGTCGTCCCAAAGGCTGTGCCTCTCCTTTGTGATGCTGGAGCCGGCACCCGTGCAGAGCTCCGTAACGCTGCACGTGAGGTGTTGGAGCAAATCGGTGCTGCTATCGATCACCCTTCTGTTGTTGCATTATCATCAGATCTCATAGCCGCACTCCTTGAGCCAGGGGATGTGGCACTATCTAAGGCTCTAGATGGGCTCCTCAGAACTGTTTACACAACCTCAGTGAGCGGTGCATCTTGTGCTCTTATTTGCCCTGTGGTGGAGCGTGCCATTTCCAAGGGGGACGCTGAGGTTAGACGGAAGGGAGCCAACTTTGTCAGAACCTTGAGCCAGTGGGCCGTGGATGCTGAGGAGCTAGGGCCATACCTGGCCACATTGCGGCCAAAACTTGAGACCCTCCTTGCTGATACTACCCCAGCCGTCCGAGACGCAGCCGCGCAGGCTATTGGAGTCTTAGCTGCCGCAACCTCTGCAGCACCGGGTGGCGATGAAGGTGCTGGTGATATGCCAAGTTTATGTGAAACTTTTCTCATTTGTTTTGTGACGTGTTGTATCATTTGAGGTAAGCAGGCATTACAAGGATTTCAAGGAAGCGAGCTCTGGGTTGTTGGTGAAGAGACTCAGCATGGCAACTCATGTAGTGTGGCATGATTTTTTGAGTACGGCCAGAGGGGCTCACACGGCCGTCTTCATAGTATGGCGAGATTTTTGGGTACCCTTTGAGGGGCTCATGTTGGCAAGCTGTTTTTGGGCAGGGCCTGAGATTGAGGGACTAATCATAGCAGTCCCACATTATGTGAGACGTTGGGGTGTGGTTTGAGGGCGTTTCTCTTGGTATTTCTGAGCATGAACGTTTCAATGCGATGCTCAGGCAGTTGCTATGCAAAAGCTAAGGTGACGTGGCCTCAGCTTTGGTGCAAAAGCTCCAGAGCACAAGCGAAGCGGCAAAAATGGAGGGCGCTGCACAGGGCTTGGCAGCTGCGCTGGCAGCTTCTGAGGATCGTTCAGAGCTTTTTGAGCAGATCCTTAAGGGTGCAAGAAATGGCTGCATCGGATTTCTCACAGTGATAGCGCACTTGCCAAAAGCACTGAGAGACACAGAGGGTGGTGAAGATGATCTTGCTTCCACCCTTGTTGTGTTGAGCGAAGCCCTGTCTGACAAAGATGAGGCCATCAGGAAAGCTGGTCGCCGTGGCTTGACGGCTGTAGCGGAAGGGTCGAGGAGCCCTGAGACAGCAGCGGCCGTGGCCGCAGCACTGGAGTCAGCGTTACGCGCAGATGAACCACTAGCACGAACCGCAGGAGCTGAATTAGCACTCATCCTGCTGGTGCAAAAGACATTCACGCCAAGTGCAGCCCCTGCCGCATGGGCAGGTCTCGTGGCAGCTGGCGTGGTGGCTCAGTCTGACGCTAACGCTGTTGTGCGTCGGGCTGCGGACCGAGTTTGGCGTGCAGCAAATGAGGCTGGTGGTAATGCTGGAAAGCAGCTCAAGGATCTTAGACCACTTCTGCTCGAGCGACTGGCCACCGACCTTTCAGGGGGGGAAGCCACCGTAGCTGCATCAGCGGGTCGTGCGGCTGTCAATCTGCAACTGGGTTGCTGTTAAGGAACTTAAATTAAGTTACCATTATGGGTATATATCGTAAATAAAAGGTTTCCCCAATATAGTAACTTAACTTAAGTTCCTTAACAGCAGCCCAGGCAAGGGCGTTTTGAGCCGAAGCTAGGCGTCATCGAGGATCTGGTGCCGACGCTTTGTGACGCTTTGCGAGCTGAGGAACTGAGTGTCAGAAGATCTGCGTGTGAAGGTCTTTCAGAGATCTTGCGGGACGAGAAGGGCCAGAAAGTCATCTTGAGGGACTCAGCGCTGGTAACTGGGATCAAGAGCGCATTGCTCGAAGCTGGCTCAGAAGATGAAGATGCAGAGCCGCTGCGAAAGGCGGCCGCTGCCTGTTGTGTTGCGGTGCCTTCTACGATGTTGGCAGAGCCTTTCGTGAAAGAGCTCTGCCAGATTGAAGTAAGTCTGAATGATGAGCAGTGCAAAGGCTTGGAGCGTTTGGTTGCGGGGATGTCCAGCAACTCCAGCAGCAGTTCTGCATCCTTCTTGTCAGCTTTGGTCAGAATGGCTGGTGCTCCGCCCCACAACCTTGGGCAGATCTCTTGCCTGACTGCGGCAACGGCTGCTGCCGTGGCTCCACTGCGAGAGGTGGCACCAGATTTGGCATCAGCGTGTGTCGATGCGGGTGCAGTTCTCGAGAGTTCCGAGCCCAGTCCAGTAGGCAGCGCTGCAGCAGCAATCCTCTCGCGGTTGGATGAGGCTGGTGCCGACGAGTTCATCGCTGCTGTGGTTTCCAGAATTGGACTTACTGAGCAAGGACGCGCAAGCAACGACTCAGAGGCAGCCGCGCGTATTCTTACAGCCTGTTTTGGATCAATGCAACGGCCTCCATCGCAAGCAGAGGCTTTGCTGGATGTCCTAGTGCCAGGTGTGCTGATGACTTCACCTGACAGATCTCCTGCCAAGGCTTATTCGCTTGCGCTGCAGGGTCTAACCAGTTTGTCAGGGGCTGCGTCACTGTGTCAGGCGCTTGCGCCCTGTCTTGCTGCAGCTTTGTCCAGCACGGAAGGGCAGATTGCCCCAGAGGCGTTAGATGCTTTGGCTCCGCTTCTACAATGTGCCACACATGCTGGTCAGCAGCGGAGGTCTCTCGCAGAGTCGTGCTCAGGACTCTTCAAGTGCACTGCGTCAGCTGATTTGCAAGGCCACGCTGTGAAGCTCGCTGGCCCGCTTCTTAGGATTCTCGGTGAGAAGGATACCGAACTTCAGATCGCTGTAGTTTCAGCCATCACAGAGTTGCTGCAGCGCACCACGGCATTACGGCCGCTTGTTCCCGCGCTTCAGATGGCACTGGTACGATTGCTAGAAGGTCCGGCTGAGGTTCACGGCGTGGCTGCGCAAGCCCTTGGTGCTTTGGCACCGCTGGCTCCCCGAGCAGAAGCACTGGTGAAGTTGCTTTGCAAGCCTCCCTTGAGGGCGTCCAATGTCTTAGCGCTTGCAGAGGTGATGAAGGCTATGGAGGGGGCATCATCGCTGTCCGAAGAGGTATCTCGTGAAGTGAAAGCAATCCTTAATGCCTCTGCTAAGAAGCACTAGACCTACGAAGCAGAAGTTGTGGTATTTCTACTGCATGGAGCAAGGTAGACATGAGTCTTCAGCACGCAGTGGCAGCCATATGTGTAACAATATGCGAGCTCTGTACTTCAACCCTGAACCAAGCAGCTTGAACCTTAACCCCCAAGAAGGCAGACTGAAAATCTTTATTTCTGCTGCCAATCCTCACGCTGCTAGAAGACTCAACCTCTGCCCACAAGCGCAGCCACCGCTGAACTCGCACAAAGATGCGTCCCGAGCTGACAACGCGTGCTTGTATCTCAGGCACATTAAGTGTCAAACCAAGTGAACAGCATCCCTTTGCGGAGGCAGAAACCCAGCATGTGCTACTTGTGATCTGAACATGAGCCAGGCAGCATCAAGCGACATTCGGGGATGTGTTGGAGGTTTGCAACCTCAAGCCGTGTGTTTTCCGCAACCAGTGGAGTGTGAAGAAGCCGAAGTTCTTTCATCAGCTCAATGCACAGGTGCTTCATCCTCGACGTTCGCCAAGGCTGATATGTCATGACTTCAGCAAACTGAAGAGCTGGACAGTGCAATTTTCTCAACACACGTAAGTTTCTTCAAATAGCTACGGGAAATTTGAAAATTTCACATGTCGTGTAGGACACGCGGCGCAGTGCTTCCCGTACCTGTCTCACGAAGGCTCGGGTGCATGCAATGCTGCTTTACCCTAAAAACCTTAAACCCTAAATGGTAGGTTCCATTTTCTTGTTCATTATCCCTATATAACCCTAATATTAACCCTATATTGCCCTATTTGATCCTTTGAAATCTTTGTGTCATCTTTGGGGTGGGTGCTGTCGTGAAACGGCAGTGTTTTGACTCTCCTTTTTCAGCTCAAGGCTCTTATAACTGTCGTATAGTGGCATGCATGAGAAGGTATGTAAGAAGTTCCGTGCTAGATTGATTCTATAGAAGATACGGGTAGGATGCGGCAAAATGAAATCCAGTGGCTCAGGCCTCGAAAAAAAATCATCGATTCTTCATCCAGGTTTTTGTTTTCGGGTTCCTGTGGCCGTTTGAAAGATTTTAATTTGTGTATTTTGTTGGCCCCCGTAGGAAGGTGAACCCAGGAAATGCTGGGCAGCTTTCCACTGTCACAGTCGGAGGCATTTTTGACGATAAAGACTACAAAGCCTGAGCCTCCCGCTGTGATAGTGGGAGGCGAGGGCTGGCGACGACAGCGCCTGAGGAGGCATGCCGAAATTTTAGGTTTGCGGATTTTGCCCAAAGGATTTTATTTTAGGCCTCCAGTACGTACACGTCAAAGCCCCATAAACATTCAAAATCGGTGGTTCCTGAGGCCCTAACCCCTTTGATATGTATTCTTGATTGCTCCTCATGCCCTAAGAGCTTATCCGGAGAAAATCCTGGGGATGACCCATCCTTGTATGCCTAACCCCTGTATAGAAGCCCGAGCAAGGAGAATGGCCGACATGTTTCGTCTTCATCGGAATTTACCCTAAACTCTAAACCCTAAACCCTCAGAAGTCTTTGCACTTGAGACCACTTCTGCCAGTCGCAGTGTGCTCTGAATTGACATTGAACTGAACCCTAAATAGTAGTTTCCATTTTATTTTCCATACATAACCCCAACATAACTCTATGATATAGTAGTTTCCATTTTATTTTCCTTATCCCTATATTACCCCATCCATCGCTGGCTCACGGCCATTGCAGTTGTGTAAGGTGCTTTTCTTATCTCGTTCACTTCTGCGAGTGGAATCCCCTTCTTTTTCGGTTGCCAGTTCCTGGATGTCTGGTAGCAGCACACGCGTCTGCAACGCGGATGAGCTCCAGGGTCTGAAGCATCAAGATGTGGTTGTTGTTGAAGACAGGTTGGTGATCTGGATGGTGACCATTTCCTGGACTTGCTGGACACGATGAAGCCAGCTGCCTTTTTTGGCAAGCATTGCTCTACCCAAGGTGTCGCAAGTGTCGCAAGCCATCCCCCCTTTGTTGACGGAGATCTGGAATGTTTGCAAGAAGTTTGCTTTGAGCATAGGGGGGTACTGACATCATAAAAACGAATCTCCACTTTCTGCATGACATTGGTCTCTTGTCTGATGGATCTTGCCCTGGAGCCCCAGATCTATATTTTTGAGCTGACGCTATCTCCAAGTCCATGGCAGCATTCTGTTGCAAAGCCTTGCCGGCCAGGGGGAGGGTGCGAGCCATGAAGGATCACAAGCTTGAGCCCCAGCGCTAGCAGTGTTCCAATGCTGGACTCAACTTTTATTGTCATCTGCGGTTCCACGCTGCAACTTCTTCGTACGCTTTCTCTATTCTTAGGGTTGAGAGTGGTCAGGGGTTCAAGCATTATGCATGCTATTGTGAATGGTTTTGGAAATTATACTGTGAATTCATTATTGAGGGTCTGTCCGTATCTGTATCAGCATTTGGCACATCTGGGTGTCCCCGTCATATTCCAGCATTGAGAATCCGTTCGAAGTCCGAAGTGGCTGCAAGCTATGATTCGTTGGGTAGTCTTTATTTCATCATCCAACCCCATGTCTCCCGTATCGGCTTCTGACTCCAGCTTCCAGAAGCCTAAAGAGGTAGGCGCTCAGAGTTTAGTCTAGTTGACACTTGAAATAGGATGCAAGGGATTTCAGTGACTCTGGAGCGTCGAGGCGTAGCTGACCTTTCTTATTGCTGGAGTTACTATGGGTCCAGCCTGAACACGGGCACCAGCCTGATGTCGTCACACATCCAGCTTATGCCAGGGCTCCCTGCACAGTGTCTCACAAGTTTCCTCAGCACGAGATACAATTTGAGATGGGCTCTGCCATATCGACACGCGAGTATGCACCGTTCAATATCTTCAGCAAGCAGGTCTTAGATGGAATTGGACATGCCCAAGACCAAATCAAGACTGCATGAGCCTGAAACCAACATACCAATCATACCCTAACTCGATGACATCACATCTGGGGAGGCATTTCCTCTCAACACCGCAGCGGGCGGCTCAGATCTCCTGTGCTGCGCAGTCCCTTAGGGGTCTGGATGACTAAGCGCAGAGTTGCTGTGGCTTGCACAGTTAGCATTGACACAGACAGGTGAGACCATGGTGCGACCGCTTGTTAATTGTCCTTGCAGCCCACCTGCTGCGCCGGCCTTTCCATGCAAGCGCCGATAGTCTGTCATTTGTGATCTCAGTGTGATCTGCTTTCTGAGGCATTAGACATGCTGATTCGTAGTGGACAAGAGACACTTGACGTTTGATTTGGCATTTCCGATTTTTCCCTAATCAGCACGTATCTCTCCCAAAGCAGGTACCCAAGCCGCGCATTCCATGCTTGTATCGCCTGTCAAGGTCCATCACATGACGGAGCATGGGCTCATCAAGGCAACTGGGCCTGCGGCCAAGCCAACGAAGAATGGCGGTGCCTTCCTGAGATTTCTTTCGAGTGTGTTGTGGTCAGCTGTGTTCCATGAGTTTGCGCAAGCAGAGGAGACTTCAAAGCACTTGGGCTAAGAAACTGGGGTGGCATGTGCCGCAGCATGAGCTGACGCTCCCCAGGTCACTTCTAGCACAGAAGGACCTGGAAACTCGATAGCGCTTCTTTGGTTCATTGCCCCAGGTGGATCCTACAGGTGCAGGTCACCAGCGCAGGGGCCCTGATTCTGATGTTGCCATGTGAGGACCTCTGCCCAGTGACAAGTAAGTCCCTTGTCGGGACCCTTTATGCGGATGATCTGTGGTAACCGTTTGGGTGGTTGCTCGATTGGACGGTTCCTGTCAGAGACGCCTGGAATCTGACATTCTTTGCATCGCTAGTTTCTTCAAGGCCTAGGGGGCCCAGTAGATTGCTGAAAACGTCTTGGCAGTTTCTCAAAACTATGATCCACTTCTGTACCCTTGAACATGCTGCAATTTCCGTTGCGGACATGCGCAACGGAAAGCCAGGATTTTGAGAAACCACCCACTTGGGAAGCAAATCACTGCCAATTCATGCGTGCATTGCTTTCATTTTCATCAGCAACCTACTGCAGCTCACTGGCTCTAAAACCCAAGTGTGCCTTGAGTCGCCATGAGTTGGCTGGGTCCGCGCATGCGGGATGGGTCTCCCGCCCCCTCGGCGCGCCAAAGACTCATGTAGGCAAGACGGGGATGGCAGTCCTTGAAGACTTCATGATGCTGCGCTTGCATGCTCAGAATGCGTGCGCAGGCTGCTTTGGCCGTCTTGTAGCCCTCAGCCATCTGGACTTCCATCGTGGTACTGACAATGGTTGTGGCAATCAGTATCGATGTCTCCCAAGTCTCGTTTGACGCGTTGTTGGCAATTATCGGACCCCTAGAGTAGGCCCTTTGTCATCACCACTAATGTAGTAGTAGAAGCAGTTGCTTCCATGTTCTTCTCCGTTTCTTCATTTTCTTAAAGCCGGCCCTAAACCCCAAACCTTGTACTGCAGTAGTTCCCACTTTCATTACCATATTTTGCTAACAGTAAGTAAGACCCTCGCCATGGTTGTTTTCACGTCTGCAGGGACGCTCAGGCACCATCAGGGTGCTTCAGCTGCGATTGATGATTCTTTTGACTCTTGTTTCCATCCTTGATACGCCTGAAGGTTGCATGGTCGCTGTCACTGCGGTGATTATTGGGCTCCTTTTCATCCGTCTTTGTTCTCTTGTTCTTGTTGTTATGGTGTTGCTTCTCCTGCAATGGGGACGTGGGCTGGCGACCGCAATTTTGAACCCTACGGGTAAGGGAAGAAGCCGCTCCCCTTCCAGAGATAGATGCTATGACGTACCCTTTGCAGTCGCCATGCGCACCGCTAGGGTCTCCACAATCACCCTTAAAATGCTTGTTGCAATCTACAAGGTATACCGGGATTATATGCAAACGGCTTCTCGTTGCGACTTTAAGCATTGGCGCGTGTACGATTTGGTGTCCTGTTGGAATTGCGACACGAAAACCAGTTCT